CCGGGGTCCTCCTCTTTCGTTAGCGTCTCTAGTTCTTTTTTGCATGTTACTTCGTTCTCCCGTTACGTAACATTCTGCATGGGTAATGATCTCGTCCATGCTGGTGGCCAGTTTCTGGGCTAGGGATTTGTTGAATTGACCGAGCCGAAGATCAGGCTTAAAAGATGCTACAAAGATCTCCTGATTAGGGTGATAAACCTTTAAAATTTCTTCATTTAACCGTGCCATGTAATCCCTCAAGGGTTCCGATTGGAGTTTGTGGACATTGAATAATGTCGTTGTGGACACCATTTAGTGTCAGCTTGCAGAAAACTACTGGACCATCTTTTTGCTGAAATATTGGTAACTGGTGACTGAGTTTCTCGGAAGGCCCACATAGCACTTTAAAGTTGATTCCTTGAAAGTTCCGTCCATGAGTTTTCACTTCAATAATGCATTAGCTCATATGATTGCCATCATGTTGTTGATAGCAATGATATGTCTGTGGGGATCAGATTTCCCGTTGTATAACGAGCATGTCAGGGGCTTGAAGTTTTCCAGAACCTTCCAGATAGCCCGAGATAATGGCTGAGGTTCCAGAAGCTCCATTCCATCGTTGCCTTCGTCTTGGCTCTTTGGCAGGATGTGGATGTTGTCTTGGAGTGTTTTGTTTTGTTGGCGAAGGTCGTCGATCATGACCAGTAATTGAGCCATGTCTGGGGGTAGATCTTCGTCAGAGGACATTATTTGCATAATGCTTGGAAAGTATGGCCCAGGAAAGTTTTATCTGGCCTACGGTGGGTGCCAAATGTTCTTGATAAACACCAAAAACGACTTCCCTATGAGCCCAAGGGCTTCAGGGAAGGACTCAGATGAATAAAATTTCTTTGTATAATATTTTAAGGGATTCAGAGGCTTACACAATTATGCGTGAGCTCCAAGCAATGCATCTTCCTTACCCCTTTGTCGGGAGCCCTATTAATATGGAGGTACATGGACCTCATTGATCACTGTTCATAGTAGTTTGTGACTCTTCATTGATTGTAAATGGGCTACCATCAAAGCTAGAAACATCTATCGTCACTAACGATGGTAGCTGTTATAATGTGCGTTGTCATATATTGTTGATTGGTTTCTCTCTTAAATAGTCGGCCACTGTGTAACAGTCCCATCAATGCTGGGTTGTTTATAACTTCTAGGCCCAGTGACAGTATCTGACATATGAGCTTGTCAAATCCCTCTTCATCTTCTCGTATGATTGACCATAACCTCCCCCGACCTTACTACTAAACTCGATTATGAAGCTCTTTGATCTAATGTCGCTACTCAGCCCAACATGCAATGCCCGATTCATCTACCTTTGCCTGGTCCCTCTTATCCTTCATAACTTGACCAATGGATCTATGTGTGAACAATATCTGATCCTTGGCCCGCTTAAAAGTCTCATCACCAGCATAAAGAATGTCCACTTGATACTTCCTGAGACCCTCCCTCAGTTCATCAACAGTAACCTCCAGCTAATCATTGGTTGCCTTCTCCACCTTCAACTTCTCATTGAGTTGGGTAAGAGATGCCTTGCTCTTAGAATCTAGGGTCTCCCTATGCTCTTTCTCCTTAGCCAAGCTCTTCTCCACATCGGAAAGCTTCTCATATGGAGCCTTCTGAACCTCGTTCAGTCGGGTTATTTCCTCCTTTAGCTTCAGCTCCATCTTCTCACAATCATCACTTGACTAAAAAATACCACGAGTCAGAACCGCACACCTCATAAGGTAAGAGATGAGGTTTTGGGTCATCTCCTTCCAACCTATAGTATTGACCTTGTTGACATCCTCATTAGCACTAAGTTGATCATAGAGAAAGCGGAGCCCATCAAAGTTGTTAGCCCATTACATGAACTCCCTGGAAGCCTGATTGTTCTCGGGTTCTTGCATCAAAGAAGTTATCTCCAAATCTTCCTGGTAAGCCTTGTCACTCATGAGGGTCGTTAGCTTCTTTGGATTTTCCTTTTAAACCGCCTTCTAGGTGGTTGGGGATGAGACTTAGGGCTCGACCACACTTGAGGTAGACTTGGATCCTATTCCATTACTCTTATTCAAACCCGGGTTTCCAACTCATAAAGGTCCAATTTAATCGCGGAGGGTCTGCCGGCTCCTTTTGGAGCTGCTTTGGAATCCTGGATCAGTTTCTTTTGTTCGGCTACGGAGAGATCTGTCATCATATCTGCAATGAAAGAATAAGACAATAGGAGTATTATCCATAAAATGTACACGATTATTAAAACAAAAACGAAGGCTATTACCAAGGAAGTCAAGAATATGTTTGTCGGCTAGAGACAACAGATCTTTAACCTTCATCATTCTCAAGAGTCAAGTATGGTTAGAGCCTGGGGGCATCTCGACCCATATTTTACCTTCACAAACCGTTCCTTGAAACCCTTATAGTTAGAGGTATACACTTGGGGAAAACTCTTGTGGGGAAGACCATTGATCTGCATCCAAGAAAGCTTCTCGGTCCCTTTTACCTCATAAAAGGAAAATAACAAACCCATTGTGGGGACAATGTTCATTGCCTCATTGACTATTTCAAAAGCCTTCATGAAGCCCCAACTATTGGGACAAAGTTTCAATGGCATGACATTACGACCTTCAGTACGTCTGTCTCAAATTTATAAAAGGGTATACGGATTCTAAATTCCTTCAAAACCATGGCATAAATATAAAATAATTCTTCATCATTGATCTTCCGACGAAGTATACAGAAGAGCTCCCCCGAGACACAAGACTATAGGATTATGTCTCCTTCTTCCTCAGTGGAGGAGACATTTATCAGGGACGAAGTTTTGCAATTTCCATGTCGTCGAGCACACTGTTCTTCAATCCCATGACTTCAAGATCAAAAGGAGCATACGCTTCCATCAGAAATTCTACAGAACTTGAGGAGGAAGAATCACAATTATAATCACTAAAAGATGTGAAGGTACAACCATAAACTTCCCTCGTGATCCGATTAAACTGCTCCTTACATAAATTTCCCTTCACCTCTCGTATGCATTGGTCCTATAACTCTCGCCTCTCTTCAACATTTGCAGGTTTTATAACATTCCCCTCATCATCACACTCTCTTAAGGTATCCAATATCTAAAAGACAAATATGAAAAATAAAAGGTAAGGGAGAAATACCTAGAAAAATAAAAGCATGCTTGAGGGAGAATGTATGCTTTCTTCTTGAAAATGTAACGCCTTTCTAAAGTACCAAAGTTTTAAAAAAGGAAAGAAAAAAATAGGGTTTTAATATAAATAAATGAATAGTGCACCAGGGGAGGCAAACGTCACCCAATAAACAAAAGTTTAGGTGGAAGACATCATTACTCTAGGAAAGAGAAAATGAATGACTCTTCATTCCATGCCACGTGTGTAAGGATGAAAAACAAGTTGCAACCTGGTGTCAATTTCAATATTTTTTGTGGCTTTCGTGATCGAATAATGGATCCTTACAGAAAATGATTTGAATTCGACGGGCTTATGTACATCCCGGAAATATCAGGCGACCTTCGTACCTCTAGGTAGTAGCTTGTATGTACCGTCAACCCGACTAATACTAGTGTGCAATAACCAGCTAAAAGTTATAGATGTAGCGATAAAAGATATAGCAGTGTAAATCAGAGATCGAGCTATTAATTAACTCGACTCATAAAAGCAAGAGTCGCCACCGCGCTTTATTATTTCCAATGGAAAATGAAAAACAGAGAAATAAAACCCTTAAATATGCAATATAAAATAATACTTAAAAGTAATGAAAATACAATGCGTTTTTTGAAAGAGATCTAGTGTTCGGGGGTTGGACGAAAGATATAAAGATTAAACGATTGAGAATAAAGTTAATTAGAGTGACAATTGAATAATAACAAAAATTCAATAATAGATTAATTTATAAGAATATATTTTTAAACGATTAAACAAATAAAAAAAATTAAATAAATACTAAATTATAATAGCATGTATTTTTAAACTTTTAAATAAATAGCAAAAATTAAATAAAAGACTTATTTAATAGCATGTTTTTTATATTTTATAATGGCATGAAATAATTATATGTAAAATAAACTAAAGCTAATATAATTGGGAAATAAGGCTAAAAGAACAAAATAAAAACATAATAAAATGCCCCAGCAGGGGTTGAACTCAGGTTCTTTAAGTTATTAGTGGTATGCTTTGCTAACTGAATTATGCTATTTATCTGTTATATCTATGCTTTTATTAATAAATAAGGTGAATATTGATAGTGATATTGGACCAACAGTCCCATTGAGCCGACCCGGTTTGGAATTGAACAAAGAAAACTCTTTGAGACCCTAGACAATTAGGCGCCGCGGCTGGTTGTTATTGGGAATAGGAAAAGGTCATATTTAATATCATTATCACTTTCAAGAAAATTCAATTTAAAGGAAAATTATTGAAACAAAAAAAAGGGTGACACGATCCTCTCTCTCGCTAAAATGACTACTTCCTCTATCTCTCACGGATTATCACTAACAACTTCCTCTTTCCCTTTCTTCTCTAAATCAACTCTCAGAGCTTGATTAACTCGCGGGTCCAAATATTCACATTCTCTATACAAATTCTCATCCAAAGGGATTTGTAATCGAAAACATCATCAAGCACCAGTTTCAAACACCTCAAAACAGGAACCATATTGGTATAGTTCTTCTAGAGAGGGATAGGCCTCAATGTTTGGCAAGAAACTAGATGACTGAAAAAAGAAATGTTATTGATTACACATTTGGCTGAAGCTAGATCCGCTTTACCTAAATGCATGATTTTGAAAGAAATCAAGATGAAGCTCCGACGGTGTGGTTTTGCGTTTTTGATATAAGAGCTTCCATTTAAAATGTGTTCCATAATAGTTGGTGCTTCAATTTGACCCGGATGAAACTTCAGTTTGTGTATAAGATAATGTGTAAACTCTGGCTTCCCTTGCATGACTTTAATAAAAAACTGCAGTTAGAACGACCAACAACACAACTAATATGTTTTCCTCAAAAGCATCGTAGAAGGGACACCAGATCCAACAGCTGAACCATTTACAAGAGCGAGGCCCTCTTCCGGCTTCAACTTGGAGAAACAAGAACTCAAACCTTATAAATGGAAATATTCCTCGGCTTTAAGGGACTCTTTTTAAGGTCCAACAGCTTTAGAATTTCTCCTACCATTTAGCAATGCAGCGATGCAGGAAAGAGGAACTTGATCACCGGAAGCAGTAACTGTATGGCGTAAAGGCGAGACTGGTGTGACATTATTGTTGAGGAATTTTGTAATAGCTTCTAATATTTCAAATCTAATGTCTGAATAGCCTTGAAGAAGGGTATTAACACTCACAAACATATCTGCTTTTGTTGCTGACTGAAGTAATGATCAAGTTGAGTCATTTTGTGGATTAAATGTTGTCATGTTTATAGAGTTTGTGTTGTATATTTTGTAATGGATTGTATGTGTTTCAGGGGGTTTTGTAAATAGAAAGGTTAAAGGTTGTAATGATGTGTATATGTAGGGTCGGTTTATGAGAGGTTTAAAGGTTTGTAAGGTTACGTGAATGGCGTACATGCTGGGTGATTTGAGGCCTATTGAATTAGAGGGTAGCAGTAAGTTACACTGTAGAGGCTATGAAGGATCAGTGAATACGGTTTAAATGTGAAAATAAGGCATAGATTTGAGATGATTTTTGTGGTGGTTTGAGAAGAGGTTCTACAACGTCAATGTTTTCTCTCTTCTTCTTCTTCTTCTTTGTTATTGCGTTGTTGTTGGCGATTTTCTGCCTGAGATTTGAGTACTTAGAAAAAGAAGATTGTAGGTATTTTTTATCTCTGAATTTTATGTCATTTACTGAACATTTCCGTATGTGTTTATTGTTAATATTATTATTTATAAACATTTTTAAATATCCACATATTGCAGCAACTCAAAATACAGCTAAAAAAGTATGATAAAGCAAGCATTCGCATGGTATAACAGTGGAGCAAAGAGAAGATTCAAACATGTGAATGATTTCTCTATGCAAACGAGTTTAACAGATATTGATGTATGCAGGAAATAATAGGGAGAAGAAATTCCTATCGGAATCTCTCTGATGGAGCTTCAAAAAAAATAGTATGTTCTCCCTCCCTCTCTTGTTGAGGCTGAAACTTCTTTTACTCTAATTATTTGCTGTTAAATCTTGAACAAAATTCTCCTCTATTTTTCTGTTTTTCCTCCTACTGTGATTCTTGAATAAAGAACTCCTTTTCTGTTTCCGGCCCACCCTCAAAGTGGATGTCTTGATCTCCTTTTATATTCATAGTGGAATGGAATTGAGAGGTAAAACAGTAGAGATTTGAACAGTTATGAGTGCCCTGTTTTGATGCTTTTTTCATACAATTTTAATTGCCATTTTGATGCAATTTTTTGGCTGTTATGATGCAGGGCAGCCGGCAGTAGCAAACTGGTCTAGGCTAATTTTTTTGTAATTTTATAGCCGTTTTCTGGCAGGATTTGGACATTTGCAGGTTGCTATTTTTTTGGACTGATTGTAGCATTTTTTGGGCAGAATTTGGACTATTTTGCATTGTTGGACATTGCAGGAAAATGGGCAATATGTTGTTGTATTTTGTACTGGTTTGTAGGGGCTGCAACATGATATTTGGCTGATTTGTATTGTTGACCATCAAGGCCTTTTTGGAGTAATATTTATGTTTTGAAATTAATATCAATAGGTCTAGAATTTATTATTTATGTAAGATTGGATGGAAACTTGTCTTGAATATATTTCTCTCAATAATTGTAAACACCTTGAATCTTTATATGTCTTGATCAAATTCAAAATCTTCCATTTGAATTTGAAAAGGAATTGATTGATACTTGAATGAATTTTGAATAATGAATAAACAATGATGCAAGCCCTAAGACCTCAATCTTGCATATTGTATTAGTAATCCAAATGAATTACATGAATTGATCTTGTAATGAAGTTGTAACCATCATGTATTTATTCTTGTGATAAATGATTATTTGAATCAAGTTTCTCTTTCCAATATCTTCTTCAATACATGCCTCATGTGGATTCAAAATGCCATGGTGTGAATCCATCAAAATAATCACACAAAAATAATCTTGAATAAATATTAGTGTGATGAACGATTATTCTTGAATGAGCCATTTTGATAACTTCTATTTAATTAACATTTGAATTCACGTGATGAAAATTCCAAGTATTCTAAATAAATTCTTCCAAAGCGATCTTGAACTTTATTACCCCACTCTAACAAAATTCACCCCGCGTCTTATAAGAAATCGAACCATACTTAAAAGCTTCGAGTGATCACTAGAACGGGATTTGAGGAAAAATGTTATCTCATTGAGAAATTGGCACAGTGAGATGAACTTAGAGATTCCAAAAATCTTAAATCATGATAGACGTCCCATAAAGGCTTTTCATGGAATTCTAAACACAATTCGTCTTCAACTTTTAAAGGCTTTTCAGTTTTGGAATTGGCTCGCATAGCCTGATCTTTTCTTTTATTTCAAGGCAAGGTGAAACACATATGAACCAATGGTCATGGAACCTTGTTTGTTATTATGAAGAATTTCGGAGACACTTGAGACCACTTGTTGGAAAGAGCATGGAAATAAACACACGATTCTCTTGATGAATCAGTCTTTGATAATGAATGATCAATTGTACTTCTGGCTTAAGAGACTGAAAACCCTAATTGAGGTGTGACGTCTGATGCTCTTGATTCAAACTTGTTTCTGCACATGAAATCAAAGAAACAAAAAACATACACTTCGTGCTTGATTAGAAGTTAGTCATGCATAAGATGAAATTCTCAGAACACTCGTTAATCTCTGCACAGGAAATGCTCGAAGGTGAGAAGTTCAATACTGACCATATTTCGTGTCCTTGATGTATATAAGAAGAAATGCAAATGAAGATGGGATCTTAGGTCAAAATTTGGGGTATGACAGCTTCCCTTATTTATGTTTCTTCTATCGGAGGTATGAAGATTGAAATCTTTGTCTCGACGAGATTGAACGAACTTAAATACAAAATATACAATTTTTTCCCTTAAGATACCGCAATGGTGTTTATGATATGATAAGAATGCAATATTTGAATCTTACAGGGAATGATGCCGCATGAGACAAACTAATGCTGGAGAAACCAAGCATATGATAAAATAATCCATAGGGGAAGGGATTATAACTCTACTGGAGAAACAGAGCCACAGACTTTGAATGAGAGACTCTTATTGGGGAATAACTTCGAGAGAAAACAATTTTATGACTCTAACAAAGAAAACTCCTTGCATAGGCTGCAAAAAAAGATGGCTAGTGACCCAAGATGATGGTGAGTTTACAACTCAGGGTCAAAGGTAGACAAAAGATATACCAACTTTAACTGATAGTGAACTATCGATTTTACTGAAGGTAGAGTTTTCATAACAAACATCTCTGTGGGAATTTTCCAGAGAGATACCATTTGATGCTGAAATAACACAAGCTGCTCAAATAAAGAGGCCGCCACTTGTTCTCTTTAAAGGATATTAATAAACACACAAGCTGCTTAAATAAAGAGGCCTCCACTTGTTGTCTTCAAAGGATATTAATAAACGCACAAGCTGCTCAAAAAGAGACTATCACTTGTTGTCTTCCAAAGATGCCTATAACCCACAAGCTACTCATGAATAGACCGCCACTTGTTGTTATTCAAAGATATCAATAACACGCAAGTTGCTCATGAAGAGACTGTCGCTTGCTGTCTTCCAAAGATATCCATAACACACATGCTGATCATGAAGAGACCGCCACTTGCTGTATTCCAAAGATCAATAAAACACAATCTGCTCATGAAGAGACCGCCACTTGTTGTCACATCGATATTCCAGAAGAATGGTGTGATAACACTACTAGGGAATAAAGTTCTTATTCAAAAGGAACCATGAATAGGTCCTTCTTAAGGAGACTAAGTATTTAAATGTGCAAAATAAATTCACTTTTCATCTAGGTTTTACCGCCTATAGAAAACCACAGGGGAGCATATGCAAGAGACAAAGTTCAATCCAGGAATAAACTGGAGAGAAAACGATCAAACAAGATTGAACCCAATGAGGAAACACTCCATTGGGAATTTATCCTATATAGAGATGGAAAAGGAAGGCTGAAGCAAAATTCTTCCACGAGGATTAGCTCAGTTAGGGAACTAGAAAGGGGGCACACTTTCTGCTTAAGTTGACACTCTGTTTGAAAAGAGAAAATATGTTGTTTGAATAAACATAACTAACGTATACGAACCCAATAACATCGACAAATATGAATGTGCGTGCATGATGCAAAATGTGAATGAATGAATGAATGTCATGTATATGCTTACAAAACAGATAGAGGAGATAAACTGAAGATGATTAGACATCACAAAACTACCAGATACTCGGCTAATCACAAAGAGATGGGAAAATAACTGGAGATAGTACAAAAAGCATCGTCGGGGCGTATCATATTACTAGGCTCAAGTATTTTTGAAGAGGACCATACCCAAATTAAATCTTCTAACATCAATAAACCACTAACATGATAATAAAAAATGTACTTCACTTTGGTTAGGGAGAAAAATCTTGATCAACTAGAGATAACTGAATCAAGGCTTAATTGGGACTGTTGGGAAGTCACCAAGTTTAGTACTCTACTGGGAAATCAATATTACACAACCAACACCTCATGATGATTTTGAAGGAAGAAACCACTATTCATCATACAAGGATGAACTACTGTATTGTTTTACATTTCAAGGCATAGCCTTTCTCGTAACAACTGTTAATATTCCTTCCAGTATTTACGACACATTTCAAGATAGGAATATTTTAATTAATTTTGTTTCAAATATTGCTATAAAAACTGAAATTTTGCCCGATAAAAAAAACACAAAAAAAGATAAATGCTCAAATTTCATTAATAAGATGGTAGTCCGCTAATGGCGCGACTCTAAAGGTATACAAAAATTTGGAAAATAGTACATGAAAGAAAAGGTTACAAAAACAATGACCATTATTCTCCCAAACAACTTTGAATTCCAAGATGTGCCCAAATTCACTGTGACTGGTCTAATCAAAACCCTACTTGAACCACCCCTTTGGGTTTTCAACTTAACAAGTTGTCATCCCAATTTCAGGCGAAGTACTTCTTGATTGCGTCATCATTCACAGAGTGCGGGAGTTCCTCACTGTCCATATTCTTCAAAATCATGGCGCCCCTAGAGAAAACATTCTTAACAATATATGGTCCTTCATAATATGGATCCCATTTGCCCCTAGAATTAGGTTTGAAATATAATATCTTCTTGAGCACGAGGTCAC